CCTGCAGTCTAAGATTATTAAAAATGGCGAGAATAAAACTGTGCTTCATAAATACAGATCAGTGTTTTGACACCCCAAAACAAGAAAATATAGATCAGTGCCACTCAAAACTGAATGATAAAAATATGACTAGTAAGTAGTGTGTCATGAATCTGGCCATAAAAGCTCGATGATTTTAACTTTTCACTTACTGGCTTCAATTGAACAACTCCACCCTCAGTAATGACATGTTATCATCATTAACTCCCTTAAGCACCAATGTTATCAATATCAGCACTCTTCTCAATTCTCTTCACAATACCAGATATGACCTTAAAAAACGATGACAAACGTCAAGATGACAGATAAGAATGAATAGAGGCAAATAACAACAACAATTCTGAATGATTTATACCTTCCCAGGCCCCAATTCATAACTTTTCTTCATCCCCTTCATTAGGAGAGCTTTCACCGTTGTTTCCCATTGAACAGGGGAAGTCACCTATGATTAAAAGTTATCTTGGGGATTAATTGCTATTTAAGCACATGCTGGGAAGAAAACAAGTTCTAAGTGGCTTACCGGACGTGCTAATTTCTTCTTCATTGAGTCAGGATCTGAATGTGGTTGTGCATCAACGTTGGATATTACAGGCATTCTTGGAGTTCTGATCTGTGTGGCTGCCAATGCTGCTTCCAATCTTGAGACTGCTGGTTCCATGAAACAAGTGTGGAAAGCACCAGCAACAGCAAGACGTAACTGACAAAAGGGGAATACCATTTCATCACAAATAGACAGACTGTGATTAAACCTTCTTCCGATTGATAAAATTGCTCCACTAATTGAAGCCTTGAATGAAACACCATCATTCAAGATGAAGAGAAAATTGATCACTTTTTGGACAGAACAGAGAAAGAAATTACCGTCATCCGAGCCTTGAATGACTTTGCTTTAGCCTCTAATACTTCCACTCCTTTAACTCCTCCAGATACTGCATAATTTCCCTATCAAAATAGGATGCTCTCTAAGCATAAGAAGCATACTACCAAGTTAGGGAAATTATAGCCACAAACGGCAGGAAAAAAGAACCTTACTGGACACAAGAAATTTGCTATCTGAACTTTCT